TGTCTATCTTCAATGATGAGTTTGCGCACAGCATCAACGTTTTCCTGGGCGACTGCCGTTTTCTGGTGCATCCACCCTGGGATCGTCGCTAAGACTCACCCGTCCACGTTTGAATTCTCGATACCAACGGGAAATTGTAGACTGATGTGGCGCTTCGTTGCCGAAAACAGACAGTAACTCAGCAAGGCATTCTTGTTGCGATAATTGTCACCAATTAAATTTGGCGACCATACCACTGTGTTGTACTCCAAAATACTCCAAAGAGCAGTATAGAATTCAAAAAACTTCTACAAAGAGATGTTTGGTGGACGTAAAAATGTATCCCAATATTTTATATGATTTAGAAGTAATTTCTCTAATGAGTGTTTTAAAACTTAATTTTGTATCAAAACTTATACCTAAATCCCTAACTGTATCAGTTCTCATAAAGGCACGTTTTTCAACTTTATATTCATACATGAGATAATTTGAACTACGGCTGAAGGTTATCTGGTAGCATTTATTCAAACTAATGTTGACCTTATTAGTTCTACACCAACAAGTAAGATTTATGAAATCTCTTTGTCGGATTTTCGCTTCGTTCATATATCTCACTGTTCTGGATAATTTAAAATCATCTGCAAAAATCAAATAACTTCTATTTAATACAGATTCTGTCAGATCGTTAACAAATGCCATAAATAAAAGCAGACCAATATGAAAGCCTTGGGGTTCACCTGAAAAGACATTGCTAGGGTTAGATAATGAACCAGCATATCTGACACACTGTGTTCGTCCTGTCAGGTAGCTTCTAAACCAGAATAGTTCACTGTTTGACACTCCTAATCTTTCTAATTTAGCCAAAAGCAGATCGTAATTTACCCTGTCGAAAGCTTTATTTATATTATTACCTTAGCTTCTTCAGATGACAGCACATTAACATCTCCTTTCTTCTGTACCACTTTGATGATAGCATATAACAGTATAACATTCTGTAGTATCGTCTTATATGTCTGTGATTGTTTATTTTCCAACATTCTGCCATTCATAAAGTTGACAGGTCTGATATTTGGCGGCGGGACAGGAATTACAGTGAAGTAAAAGACGTCGGTTGGATGTTCTGCTCTTATATCTTGAAGCACAGGCAGCAAGTGCTCTAAGAATGATTTTTCAGATACCCAGATTTTCCTCATATGTTCTCTAGAACATGAGGAATGTTCCTAAATATTGCTACTAGCTAGATATAAACAGTGATGTACAATTTTACTGCACAAAGTAACTCGATTACAAAATAAAAGATACTTTTAAAATAAGTGTTTTAGATACCAGATACAAAATGCCTGCCTTTGTAATACTTTTTAAAGCTAAAATACTTTTGTAAGAATACAACATTTTATTGAATATAAGTTTGTATTATTACCAAAAAGCAGTAACCCTCATACTTCTTGACTTCACTAAAGCATTTGACACAAGCATTCACTTCTTGTGTCTAAAGGCAGTTATTATGAATTTTCTGGAAAACCTCTTTCGTTTATCCAAACCTACCCTGAAAATCGGTTTCAAAAAGTTCGTCGAAATCAACTCTACCGTACACAAAATTTGTTCTTGTGTACCACAGGGATTTGTCTTAGGACCCCTGTTATTTTCATTACATATCTCAGATTTAAAAACAGATGTAAAATAATGCAGCATACAATTTTTTGCCGACGATACTCAAAATTTTCTATTCATTTAGGAGTAATGACTTGGAAACAGCGAATAATAACATTAATCAAGATGTTGCCCAAATTGAAAAGTTTAGTAGTAGTCATAATCTACGTGTGAACCCTTTAAAGACAAATATGTTAGTATACTCAAATGAACAGGAAATGCTTTAAAAAATGGCAAACATAAATGTAAAAGGTAATAAAATAGTTCCTGTGGATCATTCTAAGAACCTAGGTATTATAATAGATGATGATTTAAAATTTGTTGAACATGTAAACCATCTATATCGAAGGCACTAATGATCTCAACTGGATGAAAATTGATAAAATGTATAAATACTAGCTCCTAAGTCTGACTCATAGGGTTCTTTATTAAGAAACACTGTCATATTTAGTAGAGGAAATATGCATGTCATTCATATTAGATATTGAGAGACTTTTTTAATCCCACACCACAGCACATCTCTTTTTCAGAACACATATATTTACAATGCAATCAAATTATATACAGTGGACCTCCGGTAATCCGACAAACATTATGTAGGGCTGTGTCGGACTATCGAATTTGTCGGATTATAGAGCACTGCCTAAGACACCCTATAGTCCGGAATTTTTTACAAAAGAGTACCTTCTAATCCGACAAATTACATATCCAATGGTAAGATTATATATGTTACGTATATGTATGTACTTTGAAGTTCAAATCATACATAGTTTATGTATGTCGAATTTAGTAAATTAAATAACAATAGAGAGCTTACGTTTTATTATAAAATTAAGCATAAATGCACATACATACTATATGTACCAAAATAATCAAGAATTATTAATCAAAATCATTAATGAATTTATCAAATTATGAAGCTTCAACTCAATTTTTTTTTTGTTTAAGGTTGTTATAACGCGAGATCAGAGCTTAGTCCCTCAGTCTTCTCAAAAGTAAAAGTTCGTTGTAGGATGTACCATTCTCTTCAGCCCATTGTAAACCTAGCTCAAAGGCGTTAATTGCGTCTTGTGCTGTGACTTGTGGAGCAATCACGTCGTCGTTATTTTCCTGATTGTTTGTTGTATAATTAGAAACCTCATTTATAATCTCTTCGTCAGACATTTCATGAAATACATTTTCCTCTTTATCCATTCCACGGCACCGGATTTCCAAATCTTCCGGACTTATCCTGTGTTTCAGTAGCGACTTGTTCTATAACTTCCGAAGTAACACTGATTTGTGGAACGTTGCTAGGAGTGGAGACTATATCTGGCCATAACTTTTTCTAAGACGATTTAATATTTGATGACGGTAACGCATTCCACGACTGACAAACAGCAAAAACCAAGTCTTTCATATTAAATTCTTTTAAAGTTTTTTCTATTGGTTGGTCTTTTGATACGGCTCTCAGAAGTAGGTTTTTCTTATAGTCTTGCTTGACAAACTGAATGATATTCTGGCCCATTGGTTGAATCAGTGCAGTGCAATTTGGCGGAAGAAACATCGCAGTGATGCATTTATCCTCAGTTGTTAGTTCTTCTTCAGACGGATGACCGGGAGCGTTATCAAGAAGCAACAACGCTTTTTGAGTAAAATTATGATTCTTTTAACCATCTTCTAACTTCCGGTACGAAGCATTCATCAAATCACTTTTTGAAAAGGTCGTTTTTCATCCATGCACTTTTTTGTCCGTAATAGTGTACAGGTAAATCAATGTTTTTGAATGCCCGTGGTTTATTAGATTTCCCAATAAACCCTCATCTTAAGCGCGTGTGTGCCCGCGGCGTAAGCACATGGTAGTATGGTTACACGCTCTTTACTTACTTTTCGTCCATGTACGGATTTTTCGTTACAAGAAACGAAAGTTTTGTTAGGCATCACACGCCAAAAAAGCCCTGATTCGTCTGCATTGTACACCTGTGACGGGTCAAGATTTAAATCGTTCACCTTTTGCGAAAATCTTAATTTAAAGGGCTATATGAAGGTGGCATCATTAGAAAGTTTCTCTCCCGTAATAGTCATTAAACGTATGCCATGACGTCTTTTAAAACTTCTAGCCATCATTTGCTGGCCACAAAATCATCTTTTTTTGTTATTTACTTATAAAAAAACTTATCTTTCATGGCCAGCATGGGTCCTGAAATTGGTGCATGCCTATTTCTTTCCTGAAGAAACCACATGTACAAAGCTTCTTCCACTTCTGGATGTTTAGCTTTCTTGAGTGTGTATCTCTTGCCAGGCCCGTAGTCAGTACTTGACACGAACTTCTTGATCTTCTCGTGGTTTCGTTTAATGTCATAAATTGTAGATCGGCATACGCCGTATTCATTTGCTAAACTAATGTAAGTTTCATTGCGACATTTTTCTTCAATTGCCAATATTTTGTGCTTTCGCTTCTGAGTTTGTGATGACATTACTAGGTACTATACTTACTACACAATGAATAAATAGTAAACAATGAATGCACGCTAGTCCGTACCGCTATCACCAGTAATCAAATTCAAACTACGTAAAACAATGGTTAAGCGTCGAGCACGATAGCGCGTACAAGTTGTAACCTGTTCAAACCTGCGTGATCTACATTAGCGAAGATTGTCAAATACGTATGTTGTTGTAATACATATTCAAATACATGTCGGATTACAGGGGGCGCCGGATTAGACAGGGGCCGGATTATCGGGGGTCCACTGTATCCTCCAATATCGTCTCATTGTTTTATAGATTGATTAATTTTTCGTGTTTCAATCAGGATAAGTTTTTTACATATTTTTTCGATTTAACTATTACCAAAAGTATTTTAGCATTTAGTACTTACAAAATACCAAACAAAAGGTACCTAAATACAAGATATAAAATGAATTAAAAAAAATATTTTAGATACAACATGAAAATATATATTTTGTATCATGTATCTTAGATGCTTGTATTTTAAACAAGTCACATCTCTGAATATAAATATTCCCTCTAACAGACTACAGTGTATTCAAATCTCGTTTACGTCCCGTTAGAAAAACACCAGCGTGCAACGTTAAAATGTGTGCGCAAACTATTGGCCAGCAGAGCAAGAATGCCTGGACAGGCAGCAACAAGCGAATTTAAGCTGCGATCGTGCTCATATTTGTTTTGAGCGAAGTAAATCAGATTTGAGTATGATATAGTTTCATATACTTTCAGCCTGAGCCTAAATGCCAGGGCTCAGTGGCAGCTATGAAGAGCTTAAAATAACCTTGTTAATCCAATTTTTGAACTGCCTACGGTTAGTAGATTTTGCTATAATATGAAAATAATATATGATTGCCATTGATTATTATTATTATTATTATTATTATGTCTTTATTGAGCATTGTTATATACAACGCAGAAATCTGCAACAGGGCGAAGTCTAGCCTAAGCTACTCTACTTAACCCTAAATAAAAGCTAACAAGGAAAAAAGCCACAGATAATACATAAAATGCAATCATCAGAAGTGATCAAATATAAAATAGCATAGAAAATATGAGATAATTTGAATGAAAATAAACAAAAGCCTAAGACACAAAACCGCAAAGCGAAGAGTATATAATCAAAAACTATTGAACTATCCATTACATTGACCATTGTAATAAAATTGCCTTACCAGGACTTTAAACATCGGTACAGAACTAAACTTAAGCGCGTCATCGATACTATTGTATATAGTAACAGCATTATATGAAAAAGATTTTCTAAATAAGGATAAACGAAACTTAGGAAGAGAAAGTTTATTAGTGAACCTCGTATTTAAATCATGCAAATCACGCCTAAAGACTAATTTTCTTTTCAGGTAAGCAGGGCTCTGTGATGATAAAATACGGTGAACTAAAATAGAAGTATAATATTTATGAGTATATTCCAGTTTTAACCATTTTAACTCATTTATTTTAGCTGAGATTCGATCAAACTTTTTGAGCCTAAAAACAAATCTACAACAGCAATTTTGCACCTTTTGAAGTCTGTATTTCAAAATAGACGTTAAGAAGGGATAATAAAGCGTGATTGCATGATTTAAAATAGGTAATACTAGGCTCTCTGAGAGCTTTTTACGTAATTTAAAATTTAAAATACCACCATTTCGATACAGTAGCCTTAAAACTAGGTAAGTCTTTTTCACTAATAGTGAGACGTACTCTTCAAATCTGAGCTTACAGTCGAAAATAACACCAAGATTTTTTGCACTTTTAACTACTGAGACTGATTTTCCATTTAATGTTAAGTCGATATGCCGCATAAAAATTTCATAACATGGCGGAGAGAAGATAACAACTTGACATTTATCTGGATTGAGGTTTAAGTTGTGATTAAATGAATATTTTTGAATATTTTCTAAATCTTGATTAATATAAGCAGATGCGGTATTTATTACAGGATTAACATATGTTACAAGAAGATATCCAGTTCTATGATGTATTTGATCGTTCACATACAATATCCATTGTAGCAGCCATGCTTCCAGGTAGAACTGTTAAATCTGTTTGAAGTAGGTATTTCTTTTGAGGAAAACTATATATTCATGAATTTGAGTATGGCATATTCTCCAAATTTCTCAACTACAGAAAGTAGGTAGCAATGCTGACCCCCAAAGTTAGGTGGTCAACTGTATTGGACATCTTGGATGAGTATGTTAATCTTCGGTTTATAATTTACCTAGATTCCTCTGGATTCACGTATTTTGATTCCACACCTTTTATTGTGATTGTTTTATCAGCACCCCTAAAACATATTAAAAATCAACTTACTAACAAATAAAATCAAAACTTGACACTCACTTGTCTAACTTTCTTGCAGAAAGTATAATCTTGTTCTTCAAAGCTTGAATTCTATCAATGTGTCGCTTACAAAACATGCATGTTTTTCTAGCTTTAACATCCCTCAAAGTTTTGTAGATGAACTGATTTCGCAAAGTTTCAACATTTTGAGTAGATAGTATGTTTCCTTTTAAAACACCTAGAATATGAAGAATCTATAAAAGAATGTCAGACAGGAAAGTCACAGATGGCCTTTGGTTGCATAACTATTCCAAGCAATACATTGTATGATAGTTGTTATCATTATTTTTGTGAATTTTATCAGAACCAAAATTAGAGATACTAAGATGCTCGCTTACCACGATACAGGGTGATAAAGTTATGATTTTGAAATATATATATACACTTCTCGGAGTAGATTAAGATAAGATATACTCGTAGACGTTAAGTTTTGTATAGATACTAAGAACCTTTACCAGCCGGCTTGAGTTCAATGCGTACGAGAGAGAAGTGTGTATAGACACATATGTTAGAAAGAGACAGAAGCCGGCTGGATAGCGAAGCTCATTACCGCGTTGCCTAGCAAGGCTAACGGGGCAATGTGTCACGCTTCCAATATGTTACTCCAATTCATTGAATTAAGATGGATGTTGAACATATGCGTTAGTTTATTTTCTAGGTCCAAATAATGGTTTTATTCTGAGCGTACACATTTATTAATTGTCAATTGTGTCGAGTCTGCTTAGGATCCAATACGGTTCGGCCCTAACAGCGCTCCATTTCAGGTCGAAATGAAAGGTCAAGATCGCCACAAACATCATTGGTTCGCTTGGCAACACCGCATCTCGTACATTCCAAGGCAAGGATTCCACCTCCATCATCATAGATGAGCGATTTTGGTCAGTACCCATATAGCGCTCATTGGCGAGTGTCGTAGTGCTTCGAAATGGTTTTCACATGCGAACACGCAGTGGTAATTTGTACTGCTACAGCGCGGTCGGAAAATGTAACAATAACTCAGGATATGTTGATTTTATCACCATCGGTGGAAATCAAAGATAATCATAAAATTAATTAAAACACTACACTAAAACAAAACATTAAATTGAATGTTTGAACAGACCTTCTTGCGTTTGACAGTAACCTAACCTATTGTAGGAGCCTGTGCGAACATTTTCTGGTGTAACATATTGGCAACGCGGCAGATTGCACGACCTTCTTCGACACAACGCTAGGGAATATACTAATGAAATTCGCTCTTCAGCAGGCTTCTATCTCTTTCTAACAAGTGTTGATACACACTTCTCGCGATTCTCTCTCGTACACATTGAACTTGATCCGTCAGACAAATTTGGATTTCCTTATGTATTACGAACACTAATGGCAGAAGAAAAAAGCACAATTTTTTTGAAAAATTTATTGTTTTTCTGATTTAAATATTTGATTTACATTAATCCTTCTCTTGAGAAATTTTTATCAAGCAATGCTTTTAGGAGAAAATTAGGTTTGAATATTTAAGGTGGAATCAGGGTTGATAAAAATTAATATTTTTTGTTTCTGGCAGATTTTTTTAATTTTTTTATATCATAAGTTTGACTCAATATTGGCTGTAAATGGTAGACTTGGACTTTATTAACAGATAGCCTTTAACAAACCTATTCACTGGACAACAAATTTTAGTTTTTTAATTGTATCCTGTGGGAAAAGTGCACTTCTTTGTTAATTTTGGGGTGCTGAATCCAAAAATGACAATGAAATAAAAAAATTAGTTGCGGTTTAGAAAAAAAACTTTTTATTTTTAAGGATATATTAAAAAAAGTAACAAGATTCATATACTTATAAGAATCACTATATGCGCTGTCTTTTTGCTGTTCTTTTATGGATCGTTTCTGGAGCATCTCTACCAAGAGTCCAACAGTAGTCTGCAAGCATGGAAGGATTCCACTTTCCCTGGTACCTTTTTTCCATTGTTGAAATATCGTGATGAAAACGTTCGCCGTGCTCATCACTTACGGCTCCGCAATTGTCAGGAAAAAAGTCCAGGTGTGAGTGTAGGAAATGTATCTTAAGAGACATATTACAGCCCATCTTTTGATACGATGACAGCATATTTTTGACAAGGGTTTTATAGTTGTCAGCTTTTCTATTTCCCAAGAAATTAGTGACCACCAGACGGAAATCATTCCAAGCAGTTTTTCCAATACCTGTTAGTTAAAGTGTTTTCAAACTGTGTATCTTTCAAAATATTTCGAATCTGTGGCCCAACAAAAATACCTTCTTTAACCTTTGCCTCACTTAGTCTTGGAAATTTCTGACGCAGGTATTGAAAAGCTGACCCATCTCTATCTAATGCCTTGACAAAGTTTTTCATTAGGCCCAACTTGATATGCAGTGGTGGTAATAAATTTTTTTTCGAATCTACTAATGGCATATGCTGTACATTTTTTTGACCTGGCTCTAGGAATTGACGAACAGGCCAGTTTTGTCTGGTGTAATGAAGTGCCTTTGCCCGACTGTCTCATTCACACAAAAAACAGCAAAACTTTGTGTAGCCTAGCTGCAGCCCAAGTAAAAGTGCAACAACTTTCAAATCGCCACAAATATGCCATTGGTGCTCATCGTATTTTATGCATGTCAATAGGTACTTCATATTGTCATATGATTCTTTCATGTGAACTGCATACCCTACAGGAAGAGATGGTAAAATATTTCCAATATGCAATAACACTGCCTTTAAACTCAACGTTGAACTGTCTATAAACAATCTCCATTCTTCTGGGTTATAGTTTATATTTAAAGCCGCCAGTAAGCCGTTAATGTTACTGCAGAAAACCAAGTTATTCTCCATATTGAAAAATGGTTCTAAGTCTTTGTGGCGTTTACGAAAAACACATACCGAAACATCGTCTCCTAACAAGTTCCACTGCTGCAGTCTTGATCCAAGTAACTCTGCCTTACATTTTGGAAGTTCTAAGTCTCTTACAAGATCATTTCTGACTTCTGACTTTCTGACTGTGTTATTTTGTGCGGTTGGTGGCATGACGTGCTCGGTATAAAATCAGGACCTCTTGACGTTGATGGCATATCTTCTTCCTGACGAATCACTCGATCGCCATGATCTGATTCGTTTTCTGATTCGCAAGTGTAGGATTCTGGGGGTTTTGGAATAGGATTTTCGTCACTGTGAGGCACAGGTCTCATCGCAGATGGTATGTTTGGGTAGTTAATAACCGATTTTTTTTTCTTGGACATACCTGTGGCTTGTCCAACACAAGGTACCATGCAAAAGTAACAATCATTAATATGATTTGTAGGCTCTCTCCAAACCATTGGGACAGCAAAGCGCATAGACCGTTTTTTGCCATTTAACCAGCTCCTCAGACTTGAAGCACACGTATTACAGCAGATGTGGGGTGCCCACTGTTTGTCTTGATCACCTAGTTTACAACCGAAATAAAGCTGCTATGCCTTTGTTATTAGTGGAGTAATAGACCGTCTCCGAGACGCAAAAGTCACATCACCACACACGTAACAAAACTGATCTGGAATGTTTACACACTTTCGAGACATCTTGCATGAACGCTGTCAGCCAACTGAGGAAAAAATGGCTAATATAAAACAATATAATGTACACGTATGTATAACGTAACACATTCATGCCGATTACATCATCTTTACTTGCCCAATATAAAAATGTAGCACGTGCATTCTTGTGAATTACAGTATATTAACACTGTCACAGCAGGAACACATATAATTACCGTATCTCTAAAACTTGAACTAATATTGAAAAAATAAGTTTCATTCCGGTTTTAGCACATTAAAAATAGTAATATTTTGTTGATTTTATTTAGGATATTTTTTGGCTGTTGATCAGTGTATTATTTGCATTAGCGACACTCTAGCTGACATGCTACAATGCGTTCACAGCAGAACAAAAGCCACCAATAAGGGTTATATCATTTGCAACATCAGTGGGTATTGATGTCATTAATAATTAGATTTAAAGCCAAGAGTGAGCCATTCAAACAAGTCACATTTGCAGAGGAAATATGTAAAACCATTGCAATACTGGAAATCACATTTGAGCAGCTGTGGCTGCCTCTGCATCTATAGTAAAGATTTTTTCCACATTTGGTCTGATACAATCTAAACAGACTGAGAAAAGAGAAGGCAGTGAAACTGGGGTCCCTTTTAAATATTATAATAAACAGTTGTTGATTGACTTTCTTATTAATTTATAGTTTGTTATAATAACAGTGTACAATTAATAAGTGAAAACTGTACATTTGAATAATTATTTTTTTTTATGTAGCTGATTTGATTATAATTACTACTAATTACTAAGTACTGATCTTTCATGAAAAAAATCAAGTTTGATTTAAATACTGATCTTTATTAAAAAAATCACTGGGGTGAAATCTGTATATTCTACTTTAAAAATATGGTGAAGCTAATGAACCTTGACATTGGAAGCCATATGTAGTGTACGAGCCCCTTCCCACTTCAGTTGGCCCACTTCAAGATTTGTACCAAAATATGCCTTTATTTACTTCTAAAACAATCTATTTTCTCAAAAACATTTTAGATACACTCTAGTCGTAAAAAATACATATTTGAAATCACTTATACCTATCACTAATAGAACATCTAAACAAATAAAGAATGTGCAAATAAATGCGCGAAGTTAACAAAGAAACAATTGAAAGATTACCATTGGGTAACATCATCTTTATTTTTTATTATGGCTGTAATTCTTTGGGGCATAGTGTTAATCAAGTTTTGGCAAAAACTTGGTGTAAAACAATCCCATATTTCTTGAAGCTTTTGTCTTGTGCCACAAAGTTTCAATAGGTGACAGATCTGGACTGCTAGAAACCCATTTCAAAAGTGGTACACTATTTTCTTCCATCCATTTTATAGCCTTTTTTGAGGGATGGCACGCTGCACCATCTTGCTGAAACACAAAATCTTGGCCGGATGTCAAACATTCTTCCATCACTGGTGAAAGAGATTCTTCTAAAATTGCCAAATATTTGTTTGTATCCACATTTCCATCAATAGAATGAAGTTTTCCTACTCCATTTGATGACATACTGCCCCAGACCATAATGGATGCTGGAAATTTCACTTTTCTCTCCAGACAGTCAACATGGAATGCTTCATTTTTTTGCGAATAACTCTACTGTGACTGTCACTAACACAAACTTTGAATCGGGCCTCATCACTCCATTGTATTGCACAGTATTGTTGAGGTGTCCATTGTCTATGTTCTTTAGCCCATCTAAGCTGATTTTTCTTTTGCAGTGGAGTTAATAGTGGCTTTTCTTTGGCCTATAAACAAGATGTGCAACTTTATGGTTTTTACTTCACTTTTTTTTATAAGAAAACTTACCTTGCAAGTGCTAAATCCCCGTTTGTGGGCATCTCTATGAGTTGTGGACCTCGAAAATTCTCCTTCCAACAGCGTCACTCCATAGAGCACTTAATTGTAAATAATTGGCACGCCTGTTTTTTCACGATTATTCTTCTTAATGCTCTTTGGTCAGCATTTGTGATATTAAATTTTTTCACATATCATCGCTTAATATTAACTGGACCAGTTACGTTATATCTTCTAACAATATTTATCACACTGTACCGTGATAAGTCTAACAAAGTTGCAATTTCTGAGTTTGATATCCCAGAATTAAAAAATTTATTTATCAGTAACCGAATTTTCTCACTAATAACCTTTCCTCTACACATTTTGAAAACCTTAACTACCCAAAACTATTTTAAACGTATTCTGACAGCTGCGATTAATAAAAACAATTGTCATGGCTTTTATTTTTCACAGCCACCTATGCATTATAGACTTATTTTGCATTGAAATGAAAATAGGTTGATATAGTGGATACCAAATAAAATCCGATGCACGTCATAGGTGATGTCATTCATAAAAATCATGGTTACCAACAGTTGACTACATTCAATGTGACATTTCTACTTGAAGTTTAAATTTCCCCGTCTCGATTCGGTTGGTAGTGCCGTGCAGAGAAATGTGAGGTTGCCACTTCTCATTTGTTGACATCAGTTGCCATTGTCCTTTTGTCGTACTATTAGTTCTTTATTGTTTAGTTTGTGAGTTTTGTGCTATTTGAGCTTTGAATCGTTGCCTTGCCAATTAAAAGTTGTTCTTTTCAGAACAAAAGTTACTGTGAAGTGGTATAAAGTATCCAAAATGCCAAAACAACTTAACAGTCGGTGTAAAGAGCTCATATCAATTCTGGCAACAGCGCACAGCTCCAGATCGATGACGTGCATCGGGTTTTATTTGGTATCCACTATATGCTGTAATTGCAACATGTGTTATTTTTATGCTGCAAATTTGATTAGGGAGTGATAAAGTTGGTGTTTTCTACTATATATTATCAAAATATTCAATGTTAATATTTTAAACCTATGACACCCTGCTACATTTTTATTTGTGTTTGATAAGAAAAAAACTAAGATTTCAATAGTTGGGCCAACTGAAGTCGGAAGGGGCTCATATTAGAAGAGTAATCTTATCTCACCATAGTGCTATTCGAACAAAATTCATGTTTTGCTCTTATTAAGTCTCCCCAATAGAATAGAAATTTACAACACACTGAATTTTGGTAATGGGACATTCTATGAACAATATTTGTGACTTTTTTTGTATGTCCTGTAAGGAGTATTATTATTTTATCATAATGTCAGTAAAGTGAATAAACTCAAATAAATGAATTTACACTGATCACTGATTTTTTTATAGCAATACAATGATGTCTTACCAATCATTTCATCAGCTAATTTTTCATACTTCAACACAGGTTGTATACTTTCCTCAGGAATTTTCTCATAAGACTGATGAGTAGAAATTAATTCCATCATCAATTGTTCAGCTTCCATAGAGTCTGTCAACAAGCCACAATTTAGCAGCTTGAGCTGAATTACCAAAATTCTCTTAATATGTATTGGAATTTGGATATGGTGACAATGTAAACAAGATATTTTCATGAGCGTTCCAATGATCTTGTGAAACAATGGATTAACCACTGGTAAGGGCAATTCAATATACCCAAAATGACCAGGACAGTTTGCGATGGTTTTAGCACAAGTGCCGCAAGCATCTGCGTCATCAGAAAGGGGCCCCAACCTTCTGTCGTACAAACCACCTGGTATAGGGTGCCCCAAGGCATCGAGAGTTAACGGTGTTACTATCTGACAGACACTCATCCGTTTGATTTCCTCGCTGGTGAACAAGGAAAACTGGACGTTTTCTTGTCGTAAGTGGATGTTCATTTTGATTTTTTTTTATTATTCAAATTTGTTATGAAGCCGTTGAAGAATCACATAGGTATAGGTTACGGTTACGAAAAACATGTGCTTGACATGTGACAACTAGACTAAGTGTAGTGATGGGAGTAGAGATGATCGATATATCGGTACCGGCGACTTTTCCCGGTGACTTGAATGGTCGCCGTTAGTCCCGGCGACCTGATTCTCCATGCAACCCAGATCGCTGTTTAGAAGTATCGGTATCGGTAACCACTGATCAAAAGCTGTAACGCTGTTTCGGTCGCGGTCGCTGCCAGGAAGCATATACACATACAGGGTCGCTACAGCGTAGCCTAACCTATTTTGTTAGTTTTTATTGTTATTGTTGTGAGTTCCTGTTTCATAGAAAAATGTTTCGTTTATTAAGCAATGTTTAACATATAAAAGAAGCATTTTTATACTACATTTGATATGTTTTCAAAGTTTTATTTTGACTGGTAAAATAGTATTTTGTTTTACTTTTTAAGATTCATAGAAAGATATTTTATGTATTTTTATGATTTTGTGTTTTGTGCTCAATATTGTTAAAAATAAAAATCTTAAATATAGTTTAATTCAAATTTTCAGGAACCTGAACATCTACACCTCGTTAGTATCAATGGATAACCGCCGCCAAATATCGAGTAATTTAATCAGCGCCAGGGAGTCGCTGGCTGCTAGCAGCGGCCATAGATAAGCAGTGACCTAAAGAGCTGCTAAATCTACCGGCGACTTTAAGGTCGCTGTCACCGGTATCCCGGCGACTTGCAAGTCGCTGCTAAGATCATCTCTAGATGGGAATTTTGCGTTTGACGATTCTTTGGAAGAGGATGGTGATAGAAGATCGAACTATCCTATACAGGGTGTTTCAGCTTATTGTTGCATAACTTTAAGATTCGATAGAACTTTTAAAATTAATGCATAAAGTCTATATAAACATGGGTCGAAAAATGCGTGGCTTCCGAAATACAGGGTGTTTAAATTTACTTTCTAAAATAGTTTTTTTTAAATATTTCGAACAATATTTGATGTATAACAGTGAAAATTGGTATACAAGGGTCTTTTGGTACGACAAAACGAACCATGGGCATATTTTTACTGTAGCCGCTAGAGGGCGCTCTCTACTGTACCTGTAGTGTATTAAAATGACCGAAAAAATTTTCTTAGTGCAATTTTTTGCTTTTTGAATAAAAAAAATGATTCTTCGCACTTTTCAACATAAAAAAGCTCTCTTGTGAGTTTTCGTTATAGTTAGCCGTTTTTGAGATATTGGGATTTTTAAGGTTCGATGCATTTTTAATTATTTATGGGAAAATAATATTTTTTTTACATTTTCGATTTGGGCATTACAAGTAATTAAGATGATCGTTTAGATTGTGTTTTTAAACACAGCAATAATTCCTAACTCCAAATAAACACAAAAAAAAACAGAATATTAATTAACGTGGTATAGCATTATTCAAATAAGGCCTTATTTCATCACATGCATTCCTAATTCTGTCTATTAGCATATCTCTTGTGGTTACGGGAGTCTGGTACACTTTTTCTTTTAGAAATCCCCACACAAAGAAATCTAATGGATTTAGGTCAGGGGATCGTGGAGGCCAGGCGACTGGTCCTCCACGCCCGATTCATCTTTCTGGATAATTTTCGTCCAGCCAGTTTCTAACTATTCTCGAATAATGCGCTGGACAACCATCAAGCTGGAACCAGGCCAATCTTCTTAAATCTAACATAACATCATCCCACATATTTGCATGTTCAGCCTTTAAAAATTCCAAGAAGGTCGCAGCATTTAACCTTGCAGGCAAAAGGTAGGGTCCAAATAGTCGATTACGGTAGATACCAATCCACACATTCACACTAAATTCATGCTGAAAATTTCTTTCCCGAACTGCATGCGGATTTTCAAGCGACCACCAAATATGTTGATTATGGAAATTTGCCACTCCACGTCTAGTGAAGCATGACTCATCGGTCCATGAAACGTTACTTAAAAACTCCCTATTATTATCAGTTCTATCAAGAATCCACTGACAAAATGTGATTCTTCGTTCTCCGTCCCCTGGCTGTAGTCCTTGCACAGGTTGCAAATGGTAAGGACGTCTATGGTCATTTCTAAGAACACGGTGAACATGGCTTGCTGAAATGCCCAAGGCACCAGAAACTCTCCTAACACTTGTGGTCGGATCTCTATCAAACTCACGCAGAATCATACGGGTAAATCTGCGCTGACGAACATTTATGTTTTGATCCCTTTGGAGATTTCCAAAACCATTTTCAATTATTTGGAGATGCACTCTTACAAATACTGAGCGAGTTGGATGTCGTCTGTTTGGAAATCTTCGTGTGTATTCTCTGGCTGCTTCTGCTGCGTTTCCATTTACAAAGCCATATACAAAATGAATATCCGCTAACTCTTGATTGGAGAATAAAAATGGCATTTTTATAAAACTGACAAAAAAAAAACAGGTAAAAGAAACTAAATTTCGTGCATTCACAATTGCAAAAAAACGTTTCAGGTTTCAACAGACAACAAAACTAACTGTCAACTAATTGACGTTTAACCTTATGCTGCTTTCAATTTCAAAAATATTTGCATGCACAGCCTACTTTTTAACGTTATTTTATCATAAATAATTAAAAATCCATCGAACCTTAAAAATCGAAATATCTCAAAAACGGCTAACTATAACGAAAATTCACAAGAGAGCTTTTTTATGTTGAAAAGTGCGAAGAATCAGTTTTTTTATTCAAAAAGCAAAAAATTGTACTAAGAAAAAAATTTCGGTCATTTTAATACACTACAGGTACAGTAGAGAGCGCCCTCTAGCGGCTACAGTAAAACTATGCCCATGGTTCGTTTTGTCGTACCAAAAAACCCTTGTATACCAATTTCCACTGTTATACATCAAATATTGTTCGAAATATTTAAAAAAAACTATTTTAGAAAGTAAATTTAAACACCGTGTATTGAAGCCACGCATTTTTCGACCCATGTTTATATAGACTTTATGCATTAATTTTAAAAGTTCTAACGAATCTTAAAGTTATGCAACAATAAACTGAAACACCCTGTATATAAATGTGGCACTTCTCAAAGTTTGATGTCATGTATGACATTTGAGAGTAACTTGACAGATGGCTAAAATAAAAAAATGTGAAAACTAGATAAAATCGGTGTATATTTTGTGGATAAAATATAGTGCAACGGTCAATGCAATGATGAAAAAAAAATTTAATGCCTCAGTAAAATTACATATTATATTATAATATTGCATTTACCGCATATTTTTCCTTTAGGCTACGGTAGTTTTGGTGCTAGATTTAAGAAAACTAGCCTCTCAAAGCTGTACGATATTTCAACGAAAACGATAAAATGCCAACTCCAAACAATTTTAATGCCTTTCTTGGGGCCGTTATAATAGGGGCAATAAGTGCTGCTGGGATGTATTTGTTTGAACACTTTAGACAACAAAAAACAAAGCATAAGATGGCAAAAGAACTAGCTAGATTGGATCAAGAAGTCTCTCAAGTTAAGAGAGAAGTACAACAGTTAATGGTTCAGAAAAATGAAAAGTAAGTTTTTTTCTCGTACTGGAGCCTCTTGAATTTAATACCCATGTAACAATCCACATAGGATAAAAATTAAACATTAATGGTGTTTGCTACTTTAATTACTACCATTTATGTTTTGTTAATGAATAATCTATCAATTTTATGGTTATTATGTTTAACATTGCCATATTGCACAGTAGTGTTATTGTAAATGTTGACCTTCAAGTAGTTTGGTTCGAGATTTGCTAAATTTTATAGCTCATTTCAATACCCCAGAGACAATAAATTCAAAACAAAAAGTTATACAATGAATAGTAAATTTTTGTTTTGTTATTTATTTAGCATGATTGCTACAATTACATTGTTTTAAAAAACTACAACAAGTACATAATATACAGATATTCAGGAAAATAAAATTTGCATCATTTTTCACTGCCCATGGAATATTCCTTTAATTTTCTTTTAAATATGTTTAAATTACAAGTAGACATCATTATATCCTAGTTTATTAAATTCAAGTAATATTATTAAATATTATTTGCCAGTTATATTAGTATTGTAATTTTTTAAAGGAATACTTATATTTCCTCTTGTATAATAATTGTGGCAATGATTATTTAATTCTATGTAGTGTTCTAAATGTGGCAAAAAATGATTTTTTATTTTAAATATAAAAAGATTATTATTATTTTGCAGGACTTGTAATTTTGACAATATAGCTTCATTGGCAGTGAATAAGATAGTTGAACAATATAGTAAATGCAGTAGACTAATAATAATTGACTAAGACTATGAGAAGCCCTATAAAAGTAATTTTTTTTTGCAATTTTTGATATACCTAACGTATTCATAGTGATCTTCAAACTTTAGTTTACTGTCAATATGTATATATATAAATATATATCCTTGAATTTCTTTGGGTAGAAGACAAAGTATTGCAAAAGTACACTCTTATACCTTAAACTTGAGCTTTTGAAGATCTATGTCTTCATCGTCTGGAGCTGGAAACAATTATTGACAATAGCAACAATTAACAATTAGGAGGAAAAATAGTTACTAAGTCAGCAAGATTGTTGCTGAAATTATTTTTAAACAACAATGAAGGGAACACAGTCTGAAACTGAACTGATGAGGTTTGATTAGGATGCAATTATTTTATTATTAAATGGCAAATGATTTTGAAAGGTTTTTTAACTTCAACGTTGATTGATTTTGGAAGAAATTTGGAAATTTGAAAACTATCAACCATTGAAAATTTATTCGAGATTTCATCTTTTTTTCCACCTATAACAGGTCAGCCAAGTTTTGGCCAAAGGGGCCCTGAAACAGGGGAGGGTATCATGAATCTTAAAAAACATTTTTTTCTACCCTGGGGCAATAAAAACTGTGTTTTTAGGCAAACTGGGAGGGTCATGTTTAAATTAGAAAATTGTTTTTTTATGACTCCTTATGCTTTGTTTCATATTTGATTTCAGGTCTCTCAAACCAAAAAGAAGTAGGAATGTGAGAAAGGCAAACTCTATTTTGTCTACTACAACTACTGCTACAGAAGACTATAATAGTGCCGTTTCTATAGACAGCTCAGATTTGGAGTTCTATGATGTTAGTGATGAAGAATTAGATGCACCCAATGCTAACTCAACAAATGGTTTTGCCATAAACAATTTGGATAATGTAAGCTTTTGCTTCTTAGTTATTTAAGTCATGATCTCCTAGTATTGGCCAAGAATAAATACAAAATCTGTATTCACATTTAATTTTATTATTTATATTTACTTTTCCACTTGGATGCTTTTCAAATACTGTAAATGTGTGAAAACATCTTATGAACTTTGACTCAAAAATTACTGATATGATGCTTGATTTTTCAAACTTTCTTGGTTAGTACAGGTTTTATATTTTGAACATATATGATTTTCTCCTTTTTTACAAAGTGTGATAAGGTAATATTTAGTTTGTTAGTATATTTTTGAGTATCAGATAAAATAAATGATTAAAATGTTTTTTTCAAGAATTTTTGTATCAGATAATTTTTGTTCTATTATTCTAAATTAGTTCACTTTTAGATTTTGAAAGAAATTGACACAGAGTTGGATTCATACTCTGTGACACAACTAGAGAAATCATTACAGAGATTAG